GAGAGAATCTCAGACTTCAACTGAGCACAGAGCCAGATGCAGGGCTCAGTCTCACAACCCTGAGATTATGACCTGAGTCAAAATCAAGAGTCAGCCACTTAACTAACTGAGCCATCCATGTGCCCCAATAAATATGTAAGTATTAAAAAAATAAAGAACTTTCTGTTTTGCCCCCTCAGTCCTATCAATTGTTGCTTCATATGTTTTGGGGCTTTGTTTAAGGCATATATGTTCATAGTTGTGTCTTTTTATAGGCAGACCCTTTTATCAACATATGAAAGGTTTCTTTGTCCTTGTAAGACTTAAAGCCTGGTTGGTCTCATATTAGTATAGCCCTCAAGCTCTTTGGTGACTACTTGGATGCAATATACTTTTCCATCCTTTTATTTTCAACCTATTTATATACTGGATTTATCATGTTTGTTGTAGGTTGAGTACAGTTAAACCATATTTTCTATTTATCCTGCCAATTTCTGCCTTTTAGTTGAAAAGTCTAATCAATTTACGTTTAATATGTAGTAACTGAAGACTTGCTTCTACCATTTTTCTACTGTTTTCTATGTACACTCTCTTACTTTCTGTCCCTTATTGGCTTTATGTTCCATTGATTTTTTTGTAGTTTACCATTTCACTCCTTTATTTCCTATTCATTATACCGGTTAGTTATTTTCTTAGCATTTATCCTATAGATTTCAATTAAAAATTTGTATTTATGATGAACTAGATTGAAGTAAAACAGACTTCATTCAAGGGTCCCAAGACCACTCTCAGGTTCAATGATTTGCTAGAAGGACTCCTGTCAGAAAAGGTGTTGTACTCATTCCCCCCACCGCCCCAGTAACAGGATACAGATTAAAATCATTAAGTACCAGATATTAAAATCATTAAGTACCAGATATTCCAGGGACTAGAGGTAATCTACTAGGAGCTGGTTAAGGGCCTAACTTTTGTTTGGAATGGGCAAGGATTAAACATTTCAGATCTACTGAATCAAACCTTGCAATTTAACTTTAATAGTATAGAAAAGTTTAGTTCCAGCCTTCTTTTCCAATGCTGTTTTAGACCCAGATTATATCTTTATACATTGTGTACCCTTTAAATAGGTTTATAATTATATTTTATGCAGGTCTTTAAAGACATTTGAAAAAAGGAGGAACAACAAACACAAAATACAATATTATTGGATTACATATTTGCCTTTCAGTTGCCTTCACCATTGTTCTTTATTTCTCTTAGCTTTATTGAGATATAATTGACATGTAACACATTAGTTTTAGGTGTACAACAGGATTTAATATATGCATATATTGCAAAGTGATTACCAAAATAAATTCTATTAACATCCATCACCTTCTTCTGAGAACTTTTTATTCTCATGGTAACTTTTAAGCTTCACCATCTTAGCCACTTTCAAACATACAATACAGCATCAAGTATAATTACTATGCTCTACATTAACATCCCCTTGACTGTTATACTTGGAAATTTGTACATTTCTTGACCATATTCATCCATTTTGCCCACCCACATCCCCTCTCCCCCCACCCCCCACCCTGGAAACCACCACTATATTGTATCTGTGAAGTTGTTTTGTTTTTTAAATCTTAATTCCAGATATAAGTGAGATCATTGAGTATTTTCCTTTCTCTTATTTCAGCTAGCATAATACCCTCAAGGCTAATCAATTGCAAATGGCATGATTTCCTTACTTTTTATGGCAGAATACTACTCTATTCTGTGTACACATCAAATATTCTTTAACCATTCGTGCATCAGTGAACATTTAGTTTGTTTCCATGCCTGTGTGTTGTCCATAATGCTGCAATGAACATAGGGGGTGCAGAAATCTTTTCAAGAGCTTTCATCTCCTTCAGATAAATACCCAGACGTGGAATTGCTTAGATCATGTGGTGGTTCTATTTTTAATTTTTTGAGGAACCTCCATAGTGTTTTCCATAGCAGCTGCACCAGTTTACATTCCCAACAGTGCAGCAGGCTCCCTTTTCTTCACATCTCACCAACACTTGTTATTCATTGTCTTTTTGATAACAGCCATTCTAACAGGTGTAAGGCAATATCTCGTTGTGGTTTTGAATTGCATTTCTCTGATGATTAATGATATGCGACACCTTTTCATGTATTTGTTTACAATTAGTATTTTTGGGGAAAGTGTCTATTCAGATCCTCTGCCCATTTTTAACTGGATTGTATCTTTTTTTATACTGAATTGAGGAGTCATTTATGTATTTTGGGTATTTAAGCCCTTATGAGATATATGATTCGCACCTGTTTAGTGGTTGATCCAGAGCTTAATGTATACATCTAATGAGAAACAGCTTCCTATATATACTAAAATCCAGTGAGACAGGGAAGTGGTACTTGTCTTTTAAAAAGTATGTGAACAGGGGCACCTGGGTGGCTCAGTTGTTTAAGCATCTGCCTTCGGCTCAGGTCATAATCCCGGGGTCCTGAGATGGAGCCCCGCGTCGGGAAGCCTGCTTCTCTCTTTCCCGCTCACCCTGCTTGTGTTCCCTCTCTGGCTGTCTCTCTCTGTCAAATAAATAAAATCTTTAAATAAATAAAGCATGTGAACAAAAAGGGGAATCCTCCTGCACTGTTGGTGGGAATGCAAGTTTGTGCAGCCACTCTGGAAAACAGCATGAAGGTTCCTCAAAAAGGTGAAAATGGAGCTACCCTACGACCCAGCAATCACACTACTGGGAATTTACCGTAATGATACAAAGGTAGTGATCTGAGGGGGACCTGCATCCCAATGCTTATAGCAGCAGTATCCACAAGAGCCAAACTATGGAAAGAGTCCAGATGTCCCCTGACAAATGAATGGATAAAGAAGATGTGGTGTATATATATATAATGGAATATTACACAGCCATCCAAAAAATGAAAGCTTGCCATTTGCAACGATGTGGATGGGACTAGAGGGTGTTACGCTGAGTGGAATAAGTCAGAGAGATGTATGATCTCATGAATATGTGGAAATTAGGAAATGAAACAGGATCATAGGGGAAGGGAGGAAAAAATGAAGACGAAACCAGAGAGGGCGACAAACCATAAGAGACTCTTAATCATAGGAAACAATCTGAGGGTTGCTGGAAGTGGAGCGGTGGGGGTGGAAGGATGGGATAACTGGGCGATGGACACTGAAGAGGGTATGTGATGTAATGAACACTGGGTATTATATAAGACTGATGAATTACAGGCCTGTACCTCTGAAACCAATAATTTTTTTTTAATTTTTTATAAACATATTTTTATCCCCAGGGGTACATGTCTGTGAATCGCCAGGTTTACACACTTCACAGCACTCACCATAGCACATACCCTCCCCAATGTCCATAACCCCACCCCCCTCTCCCAACCCCCCCTCCCCCCATCAACCCTCAGTTTGTTTTGTGAGATTAAGAGTCACTTATGGTTTGTCTCCCTCCCAATAATATATGTTAATTGAATTTAAAAATTTTTTTAAATTTAAATTTTTTTAAAAAGTATGAGAACAGGGGCGCCTGGGTGGCTCAGTGGGTTAAAGCCTCTGCCTTGGGCTCAGGTCATGATCCCAGGGTCCTGGGATCGAGCCCTGCATCGAGCTCCCTGTTCAGCAAGAAACCTGCTTCCTCCTTTCTCTCTGCCTACTTGTGATCTGTCAAATAAATAAAATCTTTTTTTAAAAAAAGTATGGGAAGAAAAGAAAGCCTGCATATGTCTATAGCTATTGTTACATTAATCTTATGTATAATTTTCAGTAAGCTCTACACCCAACATGGGGCTGGAACTCACAACCCTAAGATCAAAAGTCACATGCTATGCGTACTGAGCCAGCCAGGTGCCCTTTATTTACTGTTTGTTTTGATTTGATATTGTGGATCTGAAGTACCATTTATATTCATTTACTTAGTCCAATTTGGCTTTGCTTTTACCTATCTCCTTTACATTATTAGTGGAAATATTATACTTTTATATGTTATAGGCCCAACAGTACATTATTTTATACAGCTGATATTCAGAATGGTTAAGAGAAAAGTAAAAAAAAAAAAAGTATATACTGCCTGTGAAAATCAAATACTCACCTCCAGTGAGCACTTTCAGTCTTCTCCTAATAGTCTTTTACCAAAATGTCCCTGTTTTTGAGAATGCCCTTAGGCTTAAACTTTTCCATCATAATTTCCTTTGGAGAGGGATATAGAGCACTCTTGTCTGTGGCCTGCTTCTCCCCCTGGACAAAATCCTGAGCCACAGATCTATTACTGCAGTTAGGGGTATTAGCATGCTTCCCTCTGAGTCATACCTCTGCTTTTAAGAACTGAGTGCTTGGGGGCGCCTGGGTGGCTCAGAGGGTTAAGCCTCTGCCTTCGGCTCAGTTCATGATCCCAGGGTCCTGGGATCGAGCCCCACATCAGGCTCTCTGCTCAGCGGGGAGCCTGCTTCTCTTCCTCTCTCTGCCTGCCTCTCTGCCTACTTGTGATCTCTGTCTGTCAAATAAATAAATAAAATCTTAAAAAAACAAAACAAAACTGAGTGCTTGGTAGATTGGCTGCGGGGGGGGAGATGCTTCAGTCAGGGGTCGCAGTTTGCTCTCAGCATGATCCACGATCTTCTCCCATGATCCAAGGCAGACAACTGAACCCCGGTATTCTTACCAGTGCCACATCCAGGGTATATATTTTGTTTGTGGCTCCTAGACAGAAGAAAATCTATCCCTTGGCTGCATTTTCCTGAGCAACAGACAGGTGGGGGAAGGATGAGAAATGTTGATGTCCTGCTCCTCCATGGAGGATGGCCATCTATCTGGGAGCAAGAGCTGACGAGTGGTGAGGAAGTCTTGACTGTACCAGTATAGAGTAATTTTGTCACTAAGATGGGATGAACAAGGAAGGGTTTGGTTCAGATACTGCAGAATTTCAGCTTGTAATAAGTTTTAGTAGATTTTCTTGAACAAATGTTTTTTTCATTTACTATATATTTTTATATATAATTCTCACCAGTTTTGACAGAGGAACATGTCAGCAGAGTTCCTCACACTGTCATGGCAGAAATGGAATTCCCGGACCAATTCTTCACAGTTCTAAGCATGGACCATGTAAGTTGCTGAATCTGTTTCCTTTGTGAACATTTCCTTTTTCTGAACCTTCCTACCAAATAGAGCCCGCCCCACATTCCCATAGTTTTTCACTTTCTAGTGAGAGTTGGAACCATACATAAACAGTATAACTCCTATGTGCCTATCTATTCTCCAGATAATGTTCAGCACTCTTATGTGTTCATTCTTTTGTCAACAGCAACTAGGGTAGAAATGGAATCCCTAGATGGAGGGATTTACCATCCTTTTTCATATTCTTGGATAGTGAAAATGATCAACTATATCCATTTGGGCAAACTCTATACTTCTCCTGAAGAGACAGGAGTTTCTGGGTAGACTGGATTTGATCTTGACTGGTTTCCATTATACATAAACAGATGATTATAGAGTTCCAGAATCCAAGAAGACCTTATCCGATATCAGTGTCTAAATACAGTTAAGCCAATATTTTTTTTCACCAAATAGACTACTCTATAGCCACTAAAAGTTACTTAGTTTATCATTAGAAGTAAAAATTCTGATCCTATCATGTTAAATAATACTTAACATAGTGCTGAATTTGGGGCTGCAAAAAATTAGAGAGTAGTGTTCACATCTCATTTTCGAAGTTAGATATTTCTAACTTCAAGGATGTAGAAACTCACCTTTATTAATTCATGCAGCAGGCATGTAGTATGTATGCAATGTGCATGAATACACTTTGAAATTTTAAAAAATCCACTTTCTGGAAATAAAATGAATTTACAAAGATATGTAGATAGTCTTATATCAAAGCACTAATTTTCTTACTTCTCATACCATAACCTTCTACCCCGGCCTACTAGTTTACTGTTTAGTCTACTTCCCATAATGTAAATTCTTTTCTTTTTTCTCAAAATATTTCCTTCAATTTCACCTATATATGGTTTGTTCTTTCAGGAGCTGGTGACATTCAGGGATGTGGTCATCACCTTCTCTCCAGAGGAATGGGAATATCTGGATTCAGCTCAGAGGAACTTGTATTGGGATGTGATGATGGAGAACTATAGCAACTTGGTCTCACTGGGTAAGTTTATCTGCTTCATATAATTTAGAATACACTGTATTGAATATCAGGTGCTTTTTAGTAAACCCAAGGCTATCTTGAAAGAAAATAGGTACATTTCTTTTTCCTGTTTCCAGAGGCATGGAACTTTGAGTTGGAGAGGATGCCTCCATTAAGCACATTCATTGTTCTTCACGATGTCTGTATCTTCTCAGTCCCTTCATATTTCTACTTTCCCTGATACGCAGGGAGTTTAATTTGAATTTTAGAAGACATACAGCACATCCTTTGAGATAGCTCTTATATTGTGATTGAAAGTCAGAATTGCTATAAATGCTTTGCTATTTTCTATCCCACCTTCTTGAAGAATAGCTAAGAACCTGTGTCTTGATTTATGATTATTAAAAGAATCTACATAATTTATATGTTAGATGGATAAACAGAATTCATGTTCATTGCCTCACATCTGTTGTCTTATACCTGTTCTGTGGTTAAAGAATGTTGCATTTAACATTGTCCGTATTCCAGCAAGGATCTCTTAATGTTTTAGAAAGCTACCTGTTTTCCTGTCAGATCACATAGTTCTTGCCAGGTATCAGGCCCTGTTCTGAGCACTTTTAATCTATTTAATCTTAATTCCTCATCAGCTCTATGCATGAATATTTGTATTATTTTGCTAAGATAAAGAGTATTTAGGCAGCTTCTCCGGGGTTACACAGTTCATCAGTGTCAAAAGGAGGTTTTCTTTTTCTTTTCTTTTTTTTTTTTTTAAGATTTTATTTATTTATTTGACAGACAGAGATCACAAGTAGGCAGAGAGGCAGGCAGAGAGAGGGGGGAGCAGGCTCCCCGCTGAGCAGGGAGCCCGATGCGGGGTTTGATCCCAGGACCCTGGGATCATGACCCGAGCCCAAGGCAGAGGCTTTAACCCACTGAGCCACCCAGGCGCCCCCAAAGGAGGTTTTCTACCCAAAGAGTCTGACGCAAAAGCTGATGTTGTTAACTGGTACAATAAATTGCCTCACAAGACAAAGAGTTGAAATGGGTTTGAGTAAAGAACTCTGTATACTTTGTAATTCTGTAATCACTCTAAGGTGAATGGTTTTTCAGTCTCCTCACATTTCTCTTCTCTGAAATCTATCAGTATTATTTCAACTTTATTTATCAAAACTTAACCAATTCTCTTAAGTGTTTTATATAATTGTAGTTCTTTTTTTAATCCCTTAGGTTACATTTCTTTGTTGTAAGCAGATTGTTCCATTTTTAAGCCATTTCCGATCACCTTACTGGAGGAAGGGAAGTTGTTCTGGAGGGTTGGGAGGGATAGGACAAGAACGGAGGGTCAGGTGAGTGAGGGCTGGTAAGAGAGGAAAAGCCATCACCAGAATAAAAAGCCCAGGTTTTCTGGGAAGAAGTGGGTCCCTGTGATGTTTTTGGAAAACTCCATTCAAAGCCCTGTGGAAAAAAGCTCAACACTTGGGGAAGCCAATTAAGATCTTCCCCCGTACAACCAATGTTTTTTCCATGTTGCTATTTGGATTTCTATAAATTCTCAACAAAAAACCATGTGCACTGAGATAAATACTGTGGTAGCCCTATCAGTACGAGGTGAGAAAAATTGATACTTATTATGGAATTGACTCACTAGTGAGATGTATAATAATAAACAGGAAAACAAATAATTAGGAAATGTATCCCATACAGTGATAAGTGCTATAAAGAAAGGTAAAAATAACAGCAAAGGAATAAAGAATGAGGGAGAAAGTGAATTCACACAGTATGGTCAGAAGGCAATCTCCGTAAGTGGCTGGGTGGTTCAGTTGGTTAAGCATCCTACTCTTGATCTCAGCTCATGTTTGGATCTCAAGGTTGTGAGTGCAAGCACTGCAGTGGTGTACTTAAAAAAAGAAATCTCTGTGGTCTTAGTTGGTCTTTCTATGAATATATAGTTCCTTATTAATAATTTGCCTAATGACTTTTACAATTAAAAATTTTCATTTATCATGCACCTGGGTGGCTCAGTGGGTTAAAGCCTCTGTCTTCAGCTCAGGTCCTGGGATCGAGCCCCGCATCAGGCTCTCTGCTCAGCGGGGAGCCTGCTTCCCACCCGCTGTCTGCCTCTCTGCCTACTTGTGATCTCTGTCTAAATAAATCTTAAAAAAAATTTTTTTTTTCATTTATATCAGTGTTTTCTTCTATCATTCCTTCTTCACTTATTAGTTGCCCTGTTGTTCTGTTACCAGCAAGAGTGTTTATGTTCTTCCTATGATTATAACTAATTAGTGACTTAAAATGGTGCATCTGAAATTTTCTGACTTTCTCTTGTTTGTGTCTCATTATGGAATTATTGATTTTTTATTGCTTCAGTTTATTTTAGCTCACCAGTCTTAATTCTTGATGCCCAGTTGTATGGCTCTTTCTTATGGTGATTTTCGAGTATCTCTGACTCAGTCCTTTTTTTTTTTTTTAAGATTTTATTTATTTGAGAGAGAGAGAGCACGAGATGGGGTAGGGTCAGAGGGAGCCTGATGTGGGACTCAATCCTGGGACTCTAGGATCATGACCTGAGCCAAAGACAGTCAGTCACCCAACCAACTGAGCCACCCAGGCACCCTGACTCAGTACTTGAAATTTATTCTTGCTTTTTGAGACTTTCCCAGGCCCACCCTATACCTTCCCTATCCTAGACCAGACACCTGAATTGGTAAAAAGTGTGTTGTTCTGGTCTAAGTTTTGTAGTTTCTGTTGTATTTTTAAAAAATCAGTACTAGGAGGGCATCGGGTGACTCAGTCATTGAGCATCTGCCTTTGGCTCAGGTCATGATCTCGGGGTCCGGGATCGAGCCCCCGCATTGGACTCCCTGCTCAGCTGGGAGGCCTACTTCTCCCTCTCCCGCTGCTTGTGTTCCCTCTCTCACTGTGTATCTGTCAAATAAATAAAATCTCAATACAAAGTATTAATTTTACTTATTTACTTAACATATTTTAGTTAAGTTTTTTCCCCTTTCTTTGATTTTTGTATTGTCAGATGGTAGTCTCCCTTATCTCCTCCAGGTGTTTTGTGTGTCCCCATGCCTTCCACCCTCACACCGCAGTAGTGTGTATATATTCAGATTTCTTGATTTCTGTCACAATAATCAAGGGCACACGTCCCTTCCCTATACCACATCATGACTTGAATCTTTTAGAAGCCCTAGTTTGTTACTTGTTTTACTACCACAACCTGAGCAATAGGCATGCTTTTGATTTTTTATTTCATGGGAGGTGAGTCAGTTTTCTGTCTCGCAACTTGGTCTTTTTCAATTTTATTTTGGCTTCTGGGGTTTCTAATATCTATTTCCCTGGAAAATAATTCACCCTAAGACAACATTTTCAAATTGATTAGCATAGCAGTCTTAAAACAGTTTAGAAAATACCTTCTCTGGTGGTTTTCTTTCATCATTTTTTAATATTTTTTACTTACTTTTATAGGATTTCTAGCTACATCTGCTTCTGTATTTATTGAATTCACCCTTCACCTTTTCTTAGGTCACTATGTTGTTTCCCATCTTCTTGATTGGGATGTACACCTTATGTTAATAAGGAAAAATGAAAATAAGTAAACATTTAAATCCTTACTTTTTGTGTGACTAATGATGACTTCCATAGACTTTAATATGTAATGCAGTTGACCCTTCAACAGCACAGGTTTGAACTGTGTGGGTCCACTTTCACGTGAATTTTTTGATTAAGGTAGTATAATATGTGAATGTATTTTTTCTTTTTTTAAAGACTATAATTGATTTGACAGAGCGCACAAGCAAGGGGTGCAGCAGGCAGAGGGGGAGAAGCAGGCTCTCCCCAGGCTAGGGAGTCAGATGCGGGGCTTGATCCCACCCTTGGATCATGACTTGAGCCAAAGGCAGACACTCAACCAACTGAACGACCCAGGTGCCCTTCTTACATTTTTAACATTTTCTTTTCTTTAGCTTACTTTATTGTATGAGTACAAGTATATAATATATAAGCATATAAAATATGTATTAATCAACTGTTCTTGGAAAGGTTTCCTCTGTCAATAGTAGGCTATTAATAGTTTGGGGTGAGTCAAAAGTTATATAATGGTTTTTGATGGTGCAGGGCATTGGCACCCTAACCCCAGTTTCGGGGTCAGCTGCATTTTCAATGTGGTCACTCTCTGAAATTATTGTAATTTCAATTACATTTCCACATTTGGTGGAAAGTCATTTTTAGGTAGAAGCATTTTGATTTACTGATACTGGCATTCATTTATAATTTTATTCTAATCAAATAATGGTTGCATTATTATACCTTATTCCTTACAACATAATTCAGTCACAGGAAGTTATTATCGCCCTGTATCATCCAGTGTTTATCATTCATTTTAGATTTCCCTCCGGTTATCTCATCTAATTGCCAGTCTCTAGCCACTGTTCAACAAATTCTTTTTTACAGAGTTCCTTCCATTCTTGCTCACCTATACCACCTTTTCCACATCATTCTATTAGCTTCTTCCCTTTTCAGAATTGCATAAGCCTTATGGTATGATTTATACCTACTGTAATATCTAAAATATTCTGAAACTGCCTTGCAGAGCATAACAATGGTTGACTTTGAGTACAAGAAAATGAAAGAGCATGAAGGAAAGAGAATATCTGGGAAAAAGCATGAAGGAAACATTTAAATACAGACTAGGATTTCAGTAGGATAGATGTGTCACAGTGAAAAAGCTAAATAAAAAAAAAGCTAAACAAAAAAGCTAAATAAAAAAGCTAAAAAAAAAGTAAATAAAATTCTTCATCTTTATTGACATGTAGGGTAAAGAAAATCATGGTTATGCAGAGCAGGAAATGAATAACAGTGATGGAGACAGTATATGTAAGTAAAGAGTCAATTAGAAAAAAATCATTCATAAACACTCACTACTCGTGTGTGTGAATATAGATCACTGCAGTGTAGTGTGAGGGTTGGAAGGCATGGAGACAAATGACTGCATTATTCTTATATGTACCTAACTTTTTTTTTTTTTTTTAAGATTTTATTTGAGAGAGAGAGTCAGAGATAGTGACAGAGCACAAGCTGGGAGGAGAGGGAGACTCTGGCTCCTCACTGAGCAAGGAGCCCCGTGCAGACTCGATCCCAAGATGCTGGGATCATGTCCTGAGCCAAGGGAATACCCTTAACCAACTGAGCCATCCAGATGCCCTTGTACATAATTGTTTTGGTGATCAATTGTGTTACCCAGTGACTGATCCTTATAATATTTTCTTTTTGTCTTATTTAGATTCTTTTCATTCAGTGATTTAATTTCCCTATAACTATCAACTTGTCCTTGGGGCTTGTCATTCAGTGGCATATAATGATTACATCTCTCCGTCTGGAATTTAAGGAATAAGGCTAAACACCCTAACAACAGAAAGTTACCCAATACACAACTGAAAAAAAAATGAAGAGTGTGAGGGCGTGCAGCTAGATACTGGAACAGAAACATAAATATGAACTTAGTCAGTTCGAACCTCATTTCTGAGGGTAGTAACTTTTAGATCTGAATAATAAAATGTGGGTGGTATGTAAAGAACCCATTTCTGAGCCGCGAAACATGTGTGTGGAAATTACGTTTTTTTTAAGAGGTCAGAAAAAGGGCGCCTGGGTAGCTCAGTGGGTTAAGCCTCTGCCTTCAGCTCAGGTCATGATCCCAGGGTCCTGGGATCAAGCCCCACATCAGGCTCTCTGCTCAGCAGGGAGCCTGCTTCCTCCTCTCCCTCTCTCTGCCTGCCTCTCTGCCTACTTGTGATCTCTGTCAAATAAAAATAAATTAATTAATTAAAAAAAAAAAGGTCAGAAAAAGATTAGGTGAAAGGGGATAATGGATTAAGATAGTCTTATAAGCACCTTGTTTCCACAGTAAAGTATTTGGATTCTACTGTTAAAGAAAAAAAAAAAAAAAAAAAAAACCATACCTGGGGTGCCTGGGTGGCTCAGTCAGGTAAGTGTCCGACACTTGATCTCAGTTCAGGTCTTGATCACAGGGTCATGCATTCAGGTCCTGCACTGGGCTCCACGTTGGGCTTGGAGCCTACTTAAAAACAAAAACAAAATTGCTAGTTTGTATAGATTATCAAATTATGATCTGCATTAGCTAGATCTGTACATGATACGGACTCGTTCTGCATCTTTAGATGTTGATCAGTATACCTGGATTGGTTCCCAAACATTAGCACTCTCAACAAGCTTACTAAGTGATGATCAACGCTTAAATGTTAGACCCACTGACTTTATCTGTTTCCCTTATCACAAACGTCACAATTTTACATTATGCTTTCATTATTTTCTGATTTTTCTTAAAACTTCATTGAGGTATTTTAATCACTCACTTGTATCACTTGTATTGTTTGTATTCGCAGTTTTTCTCCTCTGCATTGCATAAATGTTTCATTTTTATGGCACACGAAAACAACAACTGTGTTTCTTTTCCCCTCTCTTCCAGATTTGGAGTCTAACTATGACCCAAAGTGTTCGTCTACTAGAAAGGACATCACTGAAAACAATGGGTCTCAGTGCAAAGTAACAGAAAGTAAATTCATTGGTCTCGAGAGCTCCATTTTCAGAAATGACCAGCAAAGCAAAGACAAGTCTGAAGTACAAAGACCTGAAGTGGGATATTTCAGTCAAATGAAAATCAATTCTGAAAAACTGCCCAATTACAAACATCATAAGTCTCTTATATCACATCACACAACTCATGATAGCCAAAACCCCCATGCATATAAGAAATATGGGAAGGTCCTTAACTGTGACTTAAATTTTGATGAATATGAGAGAATACATACCGGTGAGAAAACATATCATCAATATAATGCATATTGGAAGACCTTTGGAGATAACCCACATACCCTACAACTGAAAATACATAGTGGTGTGAAACCTTGTAAATATATGGAATCTGAGAATGCATTTAGTTTTTATGAAGACCTTAGTATACAGAAAATGCATGATGACCAGAAGTGCTATAAATGTAAGAAATATGAAAGGACCATTAGAAGAGTTGAAGAAATACCTCCACTACAAGTAATTCATGATGCTGAGAAACCCTATGAATGCACTTTCTGTGGTAAATCCTTTAGGGTGCATACGCAACTTACTCGACACCAGAAAATCCATACTGATGAGAAACCTTACAAATGTATGGAATGTGGCAAGGACTTTAGGTTCCATTCACAGCTCACTGAACATCAGAGAATTCATACTGGTGAGAAACCATACAAATGTATACAATGTGAGAAAGTCTTTAGAATTAGTTCACAGCTTATTGAACATCAGAGAATTCATACAGGTGAGAAGCCTTATGCATGTAAAGAATGTGGGAAGACCTTTGGAGTCTGTAGAGAACTTGCTCGACATCAGAGAATTCATACTGGAAAGAAACCCTATGAATGCAAGGCATGTGGAAAGGTCTTTAGAAACAGTTCATCGCTGACTAGACATCAGAGAATTCATACTGGTGAGAAACCCTATAAATGCAAGGAATGTGGGAAAGCTTTTGGAGTAGGCAGTGAACTTACTCGACATCAGAGAATTCACAGTGGTCAGAAACCTTATGAATGTAAAGAGTGTGGAAAGTTCTTTAGACTTACTTCAGCACTTATTCAACATCAGAGGATTCACAGTGGTGAAAAACCTTACGAATGTAAGGTGTGTGGGAAGGCTTTCAGACATAGTTCAGCCCTTACTGAGCATCAGAGAATTCATACTGGAGAGAAACCTTATGAATGCAAGGCCTGTGGGAAGGCCTTTAGACACAGTTCCTCCTTTACAAAACATCAGAGAATTCATACTGGTAAGAAACCCTATGAATGTAAGGAATGCGGGAGTGCCTTTAGTGTGGGTAAGCACCTTACTTGACATAAAAAAAAGTTGAACTGGTGTTTTGTCTTTTGAATGAAAGACATGTACAAAAGCCTTCTGCTTCTGAGTTTCACTAGGGAAGTCCATTCATTGTAATAAGAAGTTACCAAGGGGATTATGTTGCTCTTACTGTTTCCAGACTTCCGGGCAACTCTATTTAGCAGAATTACTCAGTGACAGGTGGTGTATACTTTTTTTGTTAGATATTGCCAAATATTTGTTTTTATTTCCCCTTTTCATACCAGTTAACATTCTGAATATCTGTTTAGATAGGATGGTCCCTATTCATTTCTAATAATTAGTAAAACACATTTTCCACACCTAGTAATTAGAGTCAGTTTCATGTGAATTTCTTTTCCAGACATGTTTTGTTTACAGTTATTTTTCATGTTTGTGTTTTTGTTCTTCTGTCTGTTCATTGTTTTTGGCTTATTAATTTGTACTATTATTCAAATAAATCTTTTGCATTCTAACTTTTTGTTACATATGATGTACTTTTCTTCCTCCAGAGAGTTAAAACTTCTAGTCGCATACTATGTATGTGGTTTAAGATTTTATTTACTTGACAGGCAGAGAGAGAGGGGGAAGCCGGCTCCCCACTGAGAAGAGAGCCCAATGTGGGGCTTGGTCCTAGGACCCTGAGATCATGACCCAAGCTGAAGGTAGAAGCTTAACCCACTGAGCCATCTAGGCGGCCCTATGTATGTGGTTTTAAAGTCTTAAGGCCCTGCCTGATATTTTTGTAGATTTGTTTTTAATTTTCTATTGTTTTTAATGTTAGATAAGTAATTTCCTTTCCATTGCCATCAAGTGATTGATTTCTTTTAAAATTTCTGTTTTGGGGGCACCTGGGTGGCTCAGTGGGTTAAAGCCTCTGCCTTCGGCTCAGGTCATGATCCTGGGGTCCTGGGATCGAGCCCCACGTCAGGCTCTCTGCTCAGCAGGAAGCCTGCTTCCTTCTCTCTTTCTGCCTCTCTGCCTCCTTGTGATCTTTCTCTCTCTGTTAGATGGATAAGATCTTAAAAAAAAAAATTGTTTTGACATGACAGACTTGCCTGCCTACCTACCTACCACAACACAATTCCTTTAAAGAGCCTTTGACATCTAGGCAGTAAGGGCATCCAAAGGAAAGGGGCACTTTTAAATCTTTTGTAAAATTTACTAAGACATTCGTATCTGTCTCTTAAGATTAAAGGAGGAGAAAATCTACAACTATTGTAATGATTATAAACTTAGTAAACTTATATTTGGAGGGTCTACAACTCTATTATTACCATGGCTTCAATTGGGTTTTATGTATTTATACTTTTTGTTCCCTGTTAGTGTTGCCTTGCTGGGTTGTGGCAGCTTAACAATCAATAGAACTTTGATTTTAGAAAGGCAAGGAAAAACAAAAGAAAAAAATTAGTGTACAGAGATAAAATTGCAATTCTTAATTATCCATCATCTCCTTCTTTAGTCAGGAGAGTTGACCTGGTTATGCAATTAATGTTAATTATGAGCTACTGGTTATTAGATGTTTGTAAGAAAATTTACCTATTGTTAGGTACAGTTATATCACCATTAGGGAGATTTTAGTTTTTCAAACTGGTCTTCCCCAGAATTTTTGGACTCTAAAGTTTTTGCATGACCCAGCAATATTCTTATTGGATACACTGAGTTGTTTTGCTTTAAATATTCCTAATTTGTATTTTATTTAAATTAGCAATTTTAAAAAATATATACTTAGGGGTGCCTGGGTGGCTCAGTTAGTTAAGCATCTGCCTTTGGCTCAGGTCAGGATCTCAGGGTCCTGGGATTGGGCTCCTTGCTCAGTGGGGAATCTGCTTCTTCTCCCCAGTGCTTTCTCTCTTGCTTACTCACTCTTTCTCAAATAAGTAAATAAAATATTTAAACTATATATATAAAGATAGATATACACACACACACATAGACACACATATGTACACACACATATATACATAATATACATATATACATAAAGTATGTGTGTATACACACACACACACATTTGGTAGATATATCATGCTACAAAATAAGAATGAGTCTCTGTTGTTAATCTTTTTATTAGGATATATGCTATTTAATGTCTTTAAATAGTTCAACTCTATTTAAGGTTTAAAAAAAAATTTACTCATGAGAGACAGAGAGAGGCAAAGGGGAAGCAGGCTCACCCATGGAGCAGGGAGTCCAATGTGGGACTCGTTCCCAGGACCCTAGGATCATGACCTGAGCTAAGGGCAGATGCTTAACGGACTGAGCCACCCAGGCACCAGTTCAACTCTATTCTATTACAATCCTATTTACTGGGCTATAATGTGATCACACTGCTGATTTGCTCTTTGATCCCATTTTATTTGGTTATTCTGAGTTACCATCAATGCTGATTTCTTTCTCTCTTATTAATACTTTAGAACTACTTGCCTTACACGCCTTTGTGTATTTTATAATTTTCCTTTTCGCTGACCTGAACAAATTACATATACATATACACTTAAAAATTGACAGAAACAAAATAACCATGTACCTTGGCACTTACCTTTTGAAATGATTAATAAGTAAATGAAAATTTGATAAATACAAGATACCCTTATTATGTCTTATTTGTAATTACAGCTGTATTTTTGTCACATTACATTAACATTTTTCTTTGGACTTTGTTAAGAACTCCTGTCATTTCACAGAGTGCTAATACAATAAACCATAATGTAATTATTGCTATTAACTTTTTTTTTTTTTTGGCTACTTCTCTTCGGTGCTCAAATTATTAAAACATCATTCCTTTCCATTTTCATGTGGTACTTTATCCTTTCCACATTTTCTCTAATCTACATACAAGTTTTTGGTTTTTTTCCCCCCAAATATAAGAGATTGTTCCACCCACTATCTTGTTTACTGTTGCAGTGAACCCTGAAATTAGCTTCCAATAATGGAATCCTTTTTCCGTTTAGTGGTGAAGAATTCTAATTAATAAATGTAAAAGGAATGAGGAAGATAGGAAAACACTGTAATAATAGTAATAATTACATACAAAATTCGTTGATGGATACTAAAACATAAAGGCAAAAGTTTAAAGAGAAACAAGCCATTAGAATGATATCAAAGTGTCTACCCCAAATATATATATATATTGGAATATATATATATGGGATATATTACAAGGAGAAAACATTCCATATACCACCTTTTTGAAATGATCACCAGTAGTAAGACATGGGCATATATACTACCCAGAGTGAGGCACTAAGAAGGGCTTACTGTGGGAGTAGTAGTCTGACTTAAGTACGAAAAAAAAAAAAAAGACCCGCTGGAGCAAGTGAGAGCCAGACAGGCACTGGGTGACTCTTGTGCCTCACTGAGGAAAGTAAACATGGGCAAAGGAGATCCTAAGAGGGAAAACATCATCATATGCATTCTTTGTGCCAACTTGCCGAGAGGAGCACTAAAAGAAGCACCCAGATGCTTCAGTCAGCTTCTCAAAGTTTTCTAAGAAGTGCTCAGAAAGGTGGAAGGGAAAGGAAAATTTGAAGAGATGGCAAAGGCGGACAAGGCCTGTTATGAAAGAGAAATGAAAACTTCTGTTCCCCCTCCAGGGGAAACAAGAAGTTCAAGGATTCCAATGCACCCAAGAGGCCTCCATCGGCCTTTTTCTTGTTTTGTTCTGAGGACCGCCCAGAAATAAAAGGAGAACATCCTGGCCTATCCAGTGGTGATGCTGCAAAGAAACTGAGAGAAATGTGGAATGACGCTGCTGCAGAGAACGAGCAGCCTTAGGACAAGAAGGCTGCTAAGCTGAAGGAAAAACATGAAAAAGACATCGCTGCATACGGAGCTAAAGGAAAGCCTGATGCGGCAAAGAAGGGAGTTGTCCAGGCTGAAAAGAGCAAGAAAAAGAAGGAAGATGAGGAAGATGAGGAGGAGGAGGAGGAGGGGGCAAATGAAGAAGATGATAATGATGAGTAAGGCGGCTCTAGCAGGTTTTTTGGTCTATAAAGCATTTAACTCCCCCGTATACAACTCAGTCCTTTAAAAAAAATTTTAACATAGGGCTGTGTAAGATTTGTTTTTAAACTGTACAGTGTCTTTTTTTATATAGTTAACACACTACCGAATGTGTCTTTAGATAGCCCTGTCCTGATGGTATTTTTAATAGCCACTAACCTTGCCTGTTACAGTGTGGGGGTTGTAAATCGGCATGGAAACTTAAAGCAGGTTCTTGTTGGCACACAGCACCAATTAGTTATATATGGGGATGGTAGTTTTTCGTCTTCAGTTGTCTCTGATGCAGCTTCTACGAAATAATTATTGTTCTGTTAACTGAACACTACTTTAATTCCAAAAAAAAAAAAAAAAAGTTGCAGCTGTTTTGTTGACATTCTGAATGCTTCTAAGTAAATACGATTTTTTTTAAAGATTTTATTTATTTATTTGACAGAGATCACAGGTAGGTAGAGAGGCAGGCAGAGAGAGGAAGGGAAGCAGGCTCCCACTGAGCAGAGAGCCCGATGCGGGGCTTGATCCCAGGACCCTGAGATCACGACCCGAGCCGAAGGCAGAGGCTTAACCCACTGAGCCACCCAGGCGCCCCAAGAACAGAACTTTAAAAAAAAATACCGTTTGTGGGGCACCTGGGTGGCTCGGTGGGTTAAAGCCTCTGCCTTTGGCTCAGGTCGTGATCCCAGGGTCCTAGGATCAAGCCCCATATCGGGCTCTCTGCTCGGTGGGGAGCCTGCCTCCTCCTCTCTCTCTCTCTGTCTGCCTGCCTTTCTGCCTAATTGTGATCTCTGTCAAATAAATAAATAAAATCTTTTAAAAAAAATACTATTTGCAGTCAAAATGGAAGAATAGACTGGATTTACCTTCCTGCCCAAAGTAACACAGATAAAATACAAGCAGCAACTGTTTTCAGATACTGAACAATGGACAGCAGAAACCCCTAACCAAGTGTAA